TTAAATAACTCAAATAATGAGACTGTCGCTTATTGGATTGATGTGACCCTATTTCATTTCCTAAATATTGACCTTGATTTTTATAGAATGTATGTGTCTTTTAATTATTACAAGTAAGGGTTTTTGATCTGGTTGTAGAAGGGTGATAGGGTTAGATGGATGCTTTTTGAAAGACATTATTAAAGGAGAGTTACAAGTAGCTATAGAAAAGATGAAAATAATTAAATGTTTCTAGTAGCTTGGGCAATTATTACCTGGAGCGACAAAAGATACTTGGACTTGGCTTGTCTATCAATTCATCACGGACCTTGGCATTACCGACTAAGGAAAGATTGGGTGTTCATTACTAATTAGAACAAAGTAATTTAATTTAATATATATATATATATATATATATATATATATATATATATATTTATTTATATATATTTAATTTGATAGATTTATTGTTAGAATCTCTCTTATTTGTTTTTGTATGGAGTAGTTCCCACAATGGTTGAGTTATTACTTAAATGTGAGAGGAGGGCATATGCTAGGCATCTTTTTGCTAATTGGAGGAAGAAACAAGGGGGCAAATAGTTCTCAATTTATTTTGGGCATGTTCAAGATCAATAAACATGCCACAATTTAAGAAACAAATGAAGTTGTTATTTAATGAATCGAGTGAGTGCATACAATGACATACTTAGAATGGAGCCAAGATATCGATGTAAGGCATTTTTTCTTCGTAAATAAAAGTGATGTTGTGGAAAATAACTTAACAAGCAACATTCAATAAGGAAATTATGAAAGCAAGATGTTTATCAATCTTGTCTATGCTTGGAGCAGATCATATTACAAGTGATGAATATGAAGCATAACAACATAGAATAAACAAAAAAAAAAAAAGAGCTGGTAATACTAGTCATATAATTAGGAGAAAATTATTTCAAAATGAAATTGAGAGTTATGATAATTGATATGTGCACTAGAATAAGGCTAAGGGTTATGAAATTAAAAAGCATGAAGCAATTGAATGATATATGGTAAAGCTTATTGCTAAGATATGCTTATAGAGGGGTTGGAAACTTTCAAGAATCCTATGTTATCATGCCATGCATGCAATCATTAATAAAGGAGAGTCCGAACCGTAATCATATGTATCCGATTGGCTAATAAAAGCCAAATATATGGAAACATACAAGTTTATAATGAAGCCACTTAATGGAGAGAAATTTTAAAAGCAAACAATAAAGCCACCAACACAACCACCTTCATTCAAGAAAATGCCAAAAGACCTAAAAAGAATAGATTTAAAGAAATTAGGGAGCTAACTCACGAGTGATACCAAACTCGTCAAGGAAGGGTATGAAGATGAGATGTTCGGCTCGCTATCAACAAGGCCATAACATAATGTCATTCCCAAACAAATTAAATCCTAACTATACAACTAGAGCAAGAGAATAATTTGTAAGTCACACTTCTATTTTAGTTTTGTAATTTATGTTTATTTGTAAGTAATTGTTTAGACTAACTATTTTCTATCATATATTATATAAAGAAAAAGAAAAAAGCTTCTCCAACTATTGGGAGTAATAAAAGACCAACAAATTACTCATATATTGCCTTTATTAAGAAGGTAAAGGTACTATTGTTGGTGTTGATACATGAGTCTATTAATAAAGTTAGAGGTATTATTGTTAGTGTTGGTATACGAATTACTTATATATTATCTCTATTGTTGGTGGTGTTTAGACTAACTATTTTCTATCATGTATTGTATAAAAAAAAAAAGAAAGAAAAATGCTTCTCCAACTACTCGAAGTAATGCAATAGGGAGTAATGAAAGACCAACGAATTACTTATACGGTACCTCTATTAATGAAGGTAGAGATAATACTGTTGGTGTTGGTACACAAGTCGATGTAAATACGATACCACATAATGCCAATATAATCATCAATATGAGTTTTAATATTTTGATTTATTTTCCCTCTTTATTTTATAAATGAATGTGCTAGTCGGTTTGTTACTCGGTGTTGTGGTTATTGAATTTATCTTTCATGTTGTAGGCTAGTATTGGAAGTCAATGAATCTTATTTGGGGTAGCTACCGGTGCTCCAACCGTAAATTATACAATCATCACACCCCAACACTTAGAAGATTTGAAATCAGTCATGAGAAAAAAAAACTAGTCCAAAGCTAAATAATAGTGGCATGAGGCAAAGTTAGATGAGTTCAAGTATTTCAAATAACATAAGGTAGAACAAAAAATCTGTGAGAGTGTGACATAGATTTCTAATGCCGACAATGAATATGCATAAATTTGTGTTAGTTGTAGCTAAAATTTTAAATATAACTTCTTATTTTGTGTTTTGTATGAGCAACTAAACTCGATATGCTCATTTTTTTTATAGCTTTACATATAGCTATTAAACATGAGTGCAATCGTGCACTTCATACATGGTCGTAAATCTGGATATATGGATGGTCAATATAAGTTATGTTTTTTAAGATGATTGTTCTTATCCGATTTGGAATAGCGAGGTTTATTCGCATAAGTAGTTATATGATCTGGAAGACAATTTAATATCAAGTTTATTTTTTATTAAAGTTAAGTAGTTATACAATCTAATACAATTTCAATAAAATAGACCAAAATATGTTCCAAAATATGACTCATAAATATAAATGATTTAATGATTGCTAGCTACTAACACCCAAAGAAAAAAAATACTCTTTTTTTTAATTCCACGAACTTGGATACAAATTTGGATATAACAAAAGTGCAAGCTTCATAGAGTTGTTGTCATAGCTTCACAATCTTCAAACCAAAACCAAAACCAAGGTGATTTTCTTCTAGCCCCAAACCCACCTCCAATACAACAAAAATACAAGCTTCATGTAGTTTAATTTTTCACTCACATTTGATTAAGCAGTACTAGTGACTTTCCCAACCTCTTATTTTTCTCCAACTAAACCCCCTTCCTTCATTAAAGCGAGTTTGTAATTACAAACACCCAAGAAATTAGTAGACAACACCATAAGATTTTAATGCTCTTCTTCTTACAATTTTGGTTAGATTCAAGATTATTTACCCTCCTCAACAAGCTAGGAATAATCTACCTTTCACAATCACAAATGGGTGGATCAACCCATTCATAAATATTGTATCTTCTTCTCCCACGTGTGATGAATCTTCTTCCCGAATTACTATTAGTCCATGAAGTTCTCATCATAAAGCTTCTCCATAATTGTCGATTCTAGCTAATTTTTTTGGGTTGTTCTTGGGAATTTTTTTTTGTTTCATTTGATTGAAGCTTAAAAAAAAAGTAATTCAACTAGTTGCTTTTTTCATTATCTTTATAAGGGTAGCCAACAAAAGCGGGAAAATTCTCGCCCTTCTTTGTCTTTTTTTTTCCTTTAGTCCGAGTTAGAAACATTTGGCTTGTTGCTGACGTGTAAGTTGAAAACTACCACATACCGGTTAAAAAATACAACGTGGCAAGTCTTGTCGAACATTTTAGCAAAATCGAGCTTCAAGTGAACTCGTACACTAAAACAAATAAAAAATCAAAAATTAGATAGTCAACCATGAGAAATCAATGGTTAGGCACCAAACCAAAAAAAATTCAAAGGTTGGACGACAAAAAACACTCTCTCTCTTTATTTTATTTCAATTTATACTATTTTATTAAATAATATATCATGTTTTAATAAGGTATTGTTTGTAGTATTTGTAATTACAATTAATAATATATGACTATTGATTTTTTTAAAAAAATTAAAAATTTCTTCATTTAGTGACAGATTTAGCAACGGAGTTACGAGGATATTTAGTGATGGAGACATATACGATCGCTAAATAGCGAGGATTTTAGCAACACCAATTTCATCGCTATTTAACGATAGATATAAGTGAAAATAACGACGACATGGCAACAAGTATAAGACTTTACAGATGACTATTTTATATTGATTTAGGGATGAAAATTCAACAAATTAGTGACATAAAATCTATTGCTAATCAACGAAATTTTTTTTTTATCGCTAAGGAAATAGCGACTAGTATATTAACGATGAAATTCATATTGTCTCGAATCCATTGCTAATTGTATAATGATGGATTTTTAACATATAGCGATGGAAAAGCCCATCGCTATATGCTGAATTTCTGACAGTAACTATTAAAATTGATATAGTTTAGTGCAAATATATATATATATATATATTTGGTATTACTTCATCACATGTACCCGAGATCATCAATATTTGACCACCAAGCTATAAAGAGAATGCAAGAAGGTAGCCTAAAAGTAAATGTGTAGAGCTACCAAATATTGAAGCCACAAAAACTGAAAATACAAGTCTTATAACAAAATTTATTTTATTAAATAGGTGCATGGAGACTAAATTATGAGGCACAGTTGCGATTATGTTTAAAATAAAAAAATGGCAGTTAAGTAATCAGCTTTTGCGACCAACATCCACATCAACCACCAAATTTGTCTATTTTTAATTTGCTGCTTTGTTTTTCAATTAATTTTCTTAATTGCATCAGCAATGATGGCTCTTTGTCTCTTGCTTGGTAAATGCAATTAGTAATAAAACTAAGCAATTACTCTTTCTCTAAACCACCAAAATTTTATTCCCTCGTGTCCGGCCTGGTCGAATAAATTAATTAGTACACACACTTGTAGGTACGTTTTTCTTGTTGTCTAATTAATACGTAAATGTCAAAGTGGCTGTTGAACTACCACCAGCAGATCTTACCAACAGGCTGCTAGTAAATTCATTAATTGATTGTTTGGGTCTTAAAACGCGTACCGCTGGAGTATTAGTAAGATTTATGCAAGCAAATTACCTACCTAGCTAGCTAGATGTAGAATTAATTTGGTCTTTGATCTCTTCCAATTTTATTATATAGCAATAGGGATCATTGCCGGCCCGGCACCTATCCGATCAACTTAGACTTGGGCCATCACCGAGGTACATATAATAATAAGAAGAAGATCAATAATATGGCTGCAGCTGCCAAAGTTGAGACGGAGAAGAAAGTAGAAGTGATCACTGCTGTCTACAAAGTTAACCTGCACTGCCCGCAATGTGCACGCGATATCAAGAAGCCTCTTCTGTCCACCCAAGGTGTCTCCATATATCCATGCATTCGTAGTTAATTGTAATACTTGTGACTAAGTTGGAGAATTTATTAATTTTTGTTTAGTTTTCAAAATCAATATATATATTTATATATGCAATGCATGCAGGGGTTCACAGCGTGGAGGCTGATTTTGAGAAGTCTGAAATCAAGGTTAAAGGGGCGATTGACGTGATAAAAATCCATAAGCGAATAGAGAAATTGAGCAAGAAAAAGGTTGAGTTGGTCTCACCATTGGCTAAGCTCAAAGAATCTGTAACGGAGAAGAAAGAAGTAGTCAAGGCCGAAGCCAAACCAGCTGTAAGCATTAATTTGTGCCATGCATACATAAGATGAAATTATATATTATAGCTCCATCTTCAATTAATTTCCATATATATATATATATATATATCTGAACAACTGCTGATTTTAGTTATCCGTGCTATATTTTTGAAGCCAAAATTAAGCACCCATTCACTAAAGGTTCACTTGCACTGTGACAAATGTGAGAAAGATCTGCGCAATAAATTACTGAAGCACAAAGGTAGTGATTTAATTTTTCTTTTTGGATCAATAAATATCGAACTTAATTAGAACATTTCATAATTATTACTCCTTATTAATAAATATTGTGATATAATTAGTAAAATATTATTATACAGCTATTTACAGTGTGAAGAGCGACATGAAAGCACAAACTATAACAGTTGAAGGAACTATGGAAGGTGATAAACTAGTAGCTTACATGCGGAAGAACCTCCACAAAAATGCAGAAATTATACCCTCAAAGCTCGAGAAAAAGGAGGAAAAGAAAGAAAAGCCAAAAGTCGAAGATAAATCCACCAAAGCAACTGAAATTGTTGAATTCAAGGTGGAGAAGAAAGTTGAGGTAAAAACTAAAGAGGTTGATGGGCCCTATTTTATTCATTATGTCTATGCTCCTCAGTTATTTAGTGATGAAAATCCAAATGCTTGTTTTATAATGTAGAAGATATATTCAACTATTTAAATTAAAAATAAATACTGTACATGTTCCATTTATTGTTTGTTTAAATGAACATTGATATATAATGACATTGTAGCTAGCCAACTCTTTTCTTTTCTTTTCTTTTCTTTTCTTTTTATGAAGGACAAAGTTGAATTTACAATTTATCGAAATGAGTAAAACATTAATACTAATTGAGTTACAAATAATTAATAATGGTGAATTTTTGCAATATTCATATACTATTACCGTCCTAAATTGATAGTCTCTTTTCAGTACTTTAATTTCACACAATTTAAAAAAATTAATTAATTATAATTACATATCAGTATTTTTTAATGATATTTTTTTTACAAAAAATTATCCAATTTAATCAAGCATTACAAAATAGAAGTATTTTTTTTAAAATACAATATTAAAAAAATTTGACTAAATAAATATTTTGAGACAAATATAAATAGAAAAAGAAAAAATTTTTAAACAGAGAGAGTATATGTTTTGTTTACTGCTAATTATCAATCCCCTCGAGCCAAAAAAAAAAAAAAAAACACTCCAAGGAACTTTGTCTTTTTTTCACAACTCCAATTTCCAGATCAGTAAGAAAAAATGAGTTCATGATGCACCCAATGATTTTATATATATACATATATGTGTGCGCGCGCATGCAAAACAAATTTGAATCACAGTACTTATCTCCAGTCTTTTTTATTACATAATTATTCATCTTCATCTTCCCTTTTAAATAAATTGTTCAATCCATGATCTTAAGCTTGCTGTATGATATATAGAACAAGTAATTTGTACAAACACTGCCAGATAAGATTTTCTGCAAGCAAAGATCGTATTTATATATATAGATAGTTGATCAGATTAAAGAAGTTCCTTCATGGTCCAGCATCGTGCTGAATATTGCTTTTGCTGTTGGTGATTGATATCTTGTAGAAGCTCATAAATTTTGCTATAAACTCTGCATAAGAAAAGAGTGATCAAATTAACACATAAATAAAGCATTAAAAAAGAAAAATTGTATTTCTAGTGATGGTTTTCACCTTCAATCCTCACAAAAAGGTGATCAGCATTTTTCCTTGCCGGGTCATGAAATCTTTTACCAGCATCCTCATGCCGACTGAGCAGAAATATCAGTTCTTTCTCACTGATCTCTAACTTGTTTCCATCATTTCTCTGGTGCATGATGAGAACAAGAATTAAAAAAGGTAATTAACTTCTGCCCTAATAAATACTATAATTAATTAAAACAAATTATAAGTGGGACAAAAAAAAAAACGGGTTATTTCTTTAATTTCATACATTATAGTCCTTATGTAGACCGTCAAGTTGGAGCTGAAATGGCTCATCCAAATGCTTCTTCAGTTCTCCAACAAGGGACTGTATCGATCAGGGATGAACTCGTTGGTCAATATAGATCAGAGCCTATGATCTGAATCACTACATACTTGCACTAAATTAGGAAAAATTAAATGGGAAAAGTTGCTATCTACCTACCTCGAAAAAATAATCAGGAGATACATCATGCTCTATCAGATTTTGAAGCTTCCCACGTATGATATACAGCCTGGTGTACGTTAAGCAAAATGCATGCAAATTGATTAGCAGCCATCATTTTCTTTTTCACTAATACTATAAATCAATTAACTGGCAAAGGCAACAGTTCCCAGCTGATCACAACAGGAGAAATTTAGAACCAAGAATTAGATCATATATCTGCATATGGGGACTTGAATGATCATCAAGCTGATATAATACGTGCATTGACTAATTGGTTAAAAAGTACCATGAAGTTAATTTCGGTCAATAGAAGATTAGTCATCAAGCTATTATTATTGTGATTTAATTAGATCCTTAACGTACCTATTTTTTGGTCAATGATGTCATCCTTCCGTTAGTCGACGTACGGTTATATTAAGAAAACTAGTAGAAAATGTGATCAAACTTAACAGATGGACGGAGATTTGACAAAAAAAGTGGTATTGTTGATAAAAAAAAAATGTTTAGGACATAAATCAAAATAAAAATAGGATGGGAATTAATTTTCTCTTTACCGAGAGTTGAGGATACTATTTAACCGATTAACCTAATATATTTATAGAAGCTAATATACATAATATAGCAGCAAAATTAATTAAAGAGTATTATAAATAAAGGGTACGTATATATATAGAGAGAAACAGCTTGACTAGTTACGTACTGTTTCGGGCTTTGCTCTTCAACCATGTCCTTGGCAATATTTGCAATATCATCTTCCCATCCAGTCAAAATTTCTTGATCTTCTGTGAAGGGATAACTGCATGCAGGTCAAGCACGTAAGAAGGCAGCAAACAGGAATTAATTATATTAATAACGACAAGGAAATTAAACATCGTATATGTATATTTATGTAGTTCATGATGAGAACCGTCTGAGCCAGGAGGCTTCAAATGATCGGATGGCTTGACGAAGATTGTTCTTAGAGTTGTCAGCAATCTTTTCTGCCAAATACCGTGGTAATTCTATGCTTTCTTGCGCAGCTATGAATTCCAAAACTTCGACAACCTAATTATTAAATTAACACGTAAAAAGAAAAACTAAAATCTTTAAAGAAAAAAAAAAAAGTACTCCTCCAGCTAGCTGATCATAAAAGATCAGGAAAGAAAGAAAGAAGAAAAAGGAATTCTAAATATAGCTAGTATATATGGTAGCAGCCTAGTGTTGATATACAGATATCGTCACCTCTTTTTTCGATGGTGGTAAAAGCTGGACAACAGTGCAAAGTGACCTAACCGGTTGAAGCTTTGAGACATCGTTGCAGCAGAAGAAAAATTTACTGAATCCTTTGTACCTCTCCAATACCCACTTAATATAGAGGAGGGTATCTGTAGATAGCTTGTCTGACTCGTATAAAATAATTGCTGCAAATATATATATACAAAGGAAGAAATTAGTAGACAATATACGTATATATATAATGGTTTAATTTGGAAGAATTCAATTATAGGAATAAAAATAAATACCTCGGCAGTCATCATGATTTGATTTGGGATGAATAGGGTGGTTGGAAATAATCCTGTTATGATGTGTTTCCTTGATGAGTTCAACAATAACATGCTTTTCATAGCCTTTGAGATCAGAGAGATTGACTTCTACATGTTGAGATGACACCTTCACTCGTACTTTTATTCTGCCAATCTGTTCCCCCTGCATGTCATGGATTTTACCCATGTATATATGCCGATCGTCAAGTTTTGATTAACATCCAATACTAGCAATATATATATATTGAGAAATATGTAATTACCTTCAAGTTAAATTCCTTGCGTTCTTCCCTCGTCTGTGAAAGCATAAAAAGGACATTTATAATCAATGAATTAATGAATTGCTTGTTTGAGCACGTACAATGGGTTTAAGATTAATCCAGAAATTTAGAAAAGAATTAAGTGTATGAATGAAGGACAAGAATTGGTGTACTAATTAGGTTAAAAATGAAACAAAAACCTGTACTCTCTCTGCTCCAAAAGCTTCTTTAAGCATAGCCGAAATCATGGTTCTCTTTCCGACGCCTGCAGGTCCTTCAAATATGAAATGATTGCAATCAACGTCCCTCATCTGTACGTAATTAAAATATATAGAAGCAGATTAATCAGTTATAATTAATTAGTGACCCAAAACGCCTCTAGTAATTAAATTTGATCACTCCTACGTGTATATATATAAAACTCACCATTCCCTGCATCCTAATGGCTTGATCTCGATTGCAGATGAAATCTTGCAAAGCTTGGGGCTGGTATTTGTCTGCCCACATAAACTTCCTGCCAAGATTCAGATTCATCACGTCGTGAGTATTTGGACAGTCCAATAGGTCATGATCATCATCATCTGTTTGAGATGGTGCTGCAGCAGGTGGCTTTGATTCTGAGACTCTCTCCCTCAATGGCTTCTCTTCAGTAACAACCGGTAAGGCATTAACATTAGGCGTCTCCTTCTCTAAGGTCGTCCTGGGTGATGGCAGATCAGAGAGGGAGGAGGCAGAATAATTGGGAACTGCAGGGCTTGGCTTCGTAGGTTTAATATGACTTTTGCTGGCGGCAAGTACTGCAGTAGGGGCATTGTTCTCCTTGCCCTTGACGTTGTTGGATTTAGAGGAGAACGAAAAGCAAGAACTCCACTCTTGCATCTTAAAGACGAAAGAAGAAAGAGAAGTGGAAGTGATGACACTGGCGTGGCTTTCACGTCCAGGGCTGGTTGGGGGTATTGGCAAAGGATGTCTCTCACGGCTGATGATTAGGGAATAATCAACGAGGCCCTTGTAATAGGGACTGCATTTTGCGTTCTTGTGGACGATATTAATGGCTTCTTGTCTTCTATTATGGGCGTCGAGACTCTCCTCAGTTAAGTCGGAGTGCCTGGATGACGAATCGATGCTCTTCCTTCCTAGCTGAATAAAGTTGCCCAGTTTGCTGATGTTGCTCCAAGATTGCCAGTAGGACGACTTGGAGGAGCGAACAGAGCATGCGGAGCGGTTGGATGGAAGTAGATGCCGGGCGGCTTTGGATGATGATGATGTACATGACAGATAGGGATCAGAAGTGGACTGAACGATTGCTGGAATCGGCGGCATGGCATAGTTTGCAGAGCTAAGATTTCTGTTTTTCCTGGGAACAGGAGGTGGTGGTGATACTAACTATGGCTAAAACATGAGAATGTGTATTGGTTCATTTGGTTTTAAAAGATATTCCAAGGGCGGGCGATTTTATCTATTATCAGTGGACGGGCAGATTTTTCCTAATAATAATTATATTATATTATCACTTATCTGTAGGACTCTCGCGACGCAAACAATGCAGAAGAAGGAACAGCCGTCAGCCACCAGGTCGTCCATGTCAACATGCACTGCTCCCCTTTAACACGGTTCAGAGAGAGAGATAAAAAAATAAATAACGATTCACTTATACAGCTTATTACAGTATTAAAATAAATAATAATCGTTACCGTAATATAACATTCAAATAACAATAACAAATACCTCAAAATTGTTAAATAGCGACCGTTACTTTATACAATAGATTTTGTTTAAATCCATGCATGAAACAATGCCCTTATCGAATGCAATTATTGATTTTTCACTCAATTTATTTGATTTTCCATTAGAACCATGCTCTATTGATGCTTACTAGGGTTGGACTGGTTCCCAATTTTAGCTCTCTATTTGTCCTTTTTTGTCCTCGAAAAAGTGTAACAGGTAAGCTAGGGCAGAAGCTGTATTGTGTAGAAGGTGCAAAACATATGGTCGAACTATAGGTCTGGTCATGGATTGGTGGATTTCTAGCAAAACCACTGATTCGGTATGGATGGCTCCTTTTACCTGATCAGAGAGGAGGTAGATGAAGATCAGTATCACTAGGCACAAGCTAGCTTGAGAATGCCACTTCAAATGTATCGTTGCACCGTCCATTCAACTTTAACAAGAATTTGCTGTTTTAGCAAATCGGTGGTGTTATAAGATTTTTGCATGAAATTTAAATCAGAACATGAGCAAGCATATAGTAAATTCTAAAATAACTGTACAGAACTCTTCAGATCATAAATTTTACAAAATTGCTAGTAATATCCATCTCATTGAACTGCTAGTCTTTGAAGATGATCCAAGAAGACCTCAAAGCTCACATCATCTGTAAACAAGACATCTCCACCGGGAAGAGGAGAATCAGAGTTGTATGTAGCAGAAGGGTTCAATTTTGCCAGAAGAAAACGAGCCTGCATTGAAATAACATGTTAGCTGGCAAACAGTATCAAATTTAACGCATATATTAATTAATTTAATTTGATTACAACAGGCCATGTAACCATGCCTCTAAGGCTCTAATACCAAGACACTTTGCCAGTCATCCAAGACATATGGCACTTAAAGAAAATAGGTTCCAATTTGGATGCATAGGCCCTCTAGTAAAGCATTAGCAGTGAACTTGTCTGTATCTAGATTGGGATAAAAGGAAAAGGCAAAAACCTCTGTTCAAAACAGTTCAGAGAACTGGCAACGGACTGATGCATTTGTTTTGAGGGGTTCGTTGTCAGCTTCTACAAAGTATTGACTAAAAGCAAATAGATACTAAAAGCCCCTGGAGCCTAGCCACACGGTGCAAAGCATAATCGCATGCATGTACTTTTAATATGTAAAATGTGTAATAACACTATTTGTGTGACACAACAGAAAGGTTCTCTAAAAATGGGAGGAGAAAAAACAAAACATCATAATAATGACAATTTAATTAGCCTATTAGTTCAAACGGTCAGCCAAATGTGGTTCTGCTCACATTTTACATAGGTTGAAACTTGTGTTTACTAACAGGGCAAAAAAAAAAAAAAAAAACTATTGATAAGAAAATGGTTCAAACAAAGAATTTACCACCATCTATCCCATTCTTAGAGGGATAGAAACACTGTCTTTGTGAAGCATAAGACTGGGGAAATCTCTCTCTCTCTCTCTCTCTCTCTCTCTCTCTCTCTCTCACACACACACACACACAGATACAAGTACGCTAAAGTTCCCTGTTTGTCAAATGTTTCTCCGTTTTCAGCTTACTTCAGGAAACAGCTGTAGGCCTAGCAACAACAACTACATAAAAGCTGGATAATCTATAAATAACACTGATGAGACTAATAACAGTGATGATGGCATCTTATTCACTTAGGGACACTTTGTCTCTTGAGCAGGCTCTTGGTAAAGAGCCTTGTGTGCCTTGGTAGCAGGTGAAGTGCCTCCCTAACTTAAAAGTATTTAGCAACGAAGCCTTCTGCCCGGTGCCCATAGTTATTAGTTCATGTTTAACAACACTGGTCCCAGAGAATGTAAATTGTGAGGCAAACTTAAACTTCCCGTCACAAACAAGTAGGAGTTAAACAATGAATGAGAGCAAACCAATGTTGCTTATCAAAAAAAAAAAAAAAAAAAAAGGGAAACTCATGTTATCCATAATTAATGATCATTTTCTGTTAAGAAGCTTCATATATAAGAGTCACTAACCTGTGAACCATGCTGATCACAAATAACTAAGCGAGGAACTGGAAACCTTTCCTTGATTATTTCATCTGCATCATTACGAGGAGCTTGCAGCAGCTGGGCAAATGCCTGCAAGGACAACAATGAATTTAAAAAAAAAGGGGGGGGGGGGGGGGGAACAAAAAAGAGAGTGATGATGGCAGCATTTGGGTCACCACTGCCACCAGGTTCGAGAACCATATGCCTCTTTCACTGTAAATGATGCAATCGCTAACTGAAAAACAAACTCTGAAGACATATACAGGAGTATATATATTCAGTTGGAAACTAATTTCATACATTTGTTTGATTGTGTGGTAAGGTGGTTTGTCATCAACAAATTTTACACCTTAATGGTTGCACATTAGAGCTAAGACTTAAAAACTAAGCTTAACCCTTTCAGGATAGAAAACAATGCTAATTTTGATAAGAAATCAGGAGGTACATTCAGTGATTCTCAAATATTGCAGAATAGAACTAGATATGATGAGATAAACTGCAATTAAAAAAAAAAAAAGGAGCACACGAAACAGCTATTAACCATTTACACGTCACTTTATAAACTTTGAGAGACCAAAGCAAGTGTTTACTATGTCACAATGATCAAATCAAAATAGTGATCATCATGCTGAGGTCATGGGAATCAAGTTCATTTTCTGAAGTTTGCAACCATGTTAATTATGTCAAGGATTTAGAATCTCTCATTATTAAAAATGTCCTTGATTATATGTTAATTTCAGGAAAATGGCGGGGGCTAACATTAGACTTGAATTAAAAGACAAGCTTTTTCATTTGGTTTATATCATGTGATCTTAACAAAGTACCTGATGCTCAGGTTGATTGTGATATCCAGCTTTCCGCCATTGAGCTATTGTTGCCCCATGAAAAATGACAACAGTGAAATAAGAGTCCAGAAGCAGAATTCTATCAGCTGCAATGGCAGCCACATCAAGAAGTGCTGGTTCTGGTACTGAATGAAACGAATAAGATATCAATGAAGGCTGTATCATCACAACTGAATTGGCAACATTTTCACGATTCAGTATCACTCTAAAGTATGCCGTCTCATCTGGGCTGTTGTTGAAGACCTGTAGAATAATATTAACTGGATAATATGAGGATTTCAAAGGACATAACTGATGAACTTTTGTAAGAATAAGTGTTTAACAGATAAATCTTGAATTCATTATATTACCTGGACAAACTGAGAACGTCGTAAATGAAACATAAATTGAGGAAATATTGAAAGCCGCGAAGATATGCTGAAAGAAGATGGACTATCCTTCTGATAGTCTCCAAATCGTGCACATATATGTATCAAAGCTTTGTCTAGCCATCTTATGGGATCAAACTCAGCCTGCTTGCCATGTATCATCAAATAATGCAATGGTAGAATGGTTAAAATTCCAAATACATAGTACTCTTTCTATAAAGTAAGGCAAGCCTACATAAAAAATTGTTCGTTTATCCACATCTTTAATAACTTGGGCATGTATCAGTATCTTCCAGTCAACTGTTTTTATCACCCCTTAAACTATGCTAGCATCAAAACAAAAGCTAAAACAATTTCGTGAAAAATAACCCCTGATTTTCAAAGTTGGAAGGTTCTTTCAAAACTATATGTGTTGACACTCCGCACAAAGATGGTAATGTGAAGCAAAAGCATGGACATACTTTGAATGTTGCTAGTGCCTTGAGATTTCAAGCCAGTTTACCTCTTCATTTTGGGGGAGGAGAGTGTGTAGTTACAGCAATTTATATGATCAATCGTGCACCCACCCTTACTATCTTGGTCATAGTCCATATGAAGCTCTTTTTCATGCAAAACCTTCATATCCACACTTACGAGCTTTTGGATGTCTCTGCTATGCCAGCACTCTTGCTACAATTGCTCAAAATTTGACCCTCGAGCATGAAAATGAGTTTTTCTTGGTTATCTACATGCTCAAAAAAGGTTACAAAGTTTTTTATCTAGAAAATCAAACATTATTTGTTTCTAGGGATGTAGTCTTCCATGAAAACATTTTTGCTTTTAAAATTAATCAGCCATTAAATTCTGCTTTACTATGCTAGCAACAACAGGACATCTAAAATAAGTATTAAAAAAAAAAAAACTAACGTTTGAAGGTTACCTAAAACTGGGAAGTGGCTTGTTCTCAATTAACTCATTCTTATCTTCGCAAACCAACAAATATCGGTAATCATACAAACAAATCAATAGTGGTTGTTCATTCTAATATTTTAGGGCTTCATATGGCACAGACTAGACTCAACTGATTAATCGCTGTTTGTTCCTCAATGTTGTGAAGCGTGTCTTTCTGCACAGCAGATTTCTGATGCTATGGGGATCCTAGAAGAAAAGACTAAGAGAACTTCTCAGCATAAATCTCATCGCATTTGCACACTCCTTTAAAACTTGTAAAAGAAATCCTCAGTCACTCGAGTAGAGCAAATTCAATATATTCAGACACCAACATAAATGGTGAATAAATGTTCGCACATACTTTACGTCTCACTATTCCATATTCAAAAATATACAAAAGCCTTCAAAGATTATAGTTACCTCATTTTCCATTTTGAATGATACTATGCGTGCTAGAACTACAGCAGCTGCTTCTTGGTCGAATCCAGCAATCAAGTCCTAAAGCATAGTAAAATAGACTGAGAATTACAAATAAAAATTCACAACCACCCAGAGAAGAAAAGGGAAGAAAAATCGATTCATACTCTATTGATTTGTGGAAAGTGCAAACAGTAAACCAAATATCGAATATGATTTAAAGCACCAACAGATATATTTCTATGGTCAAGATGCCCATTACCTGACCAAACTTTTAGTATCCTACATTAATGTGCAGTCTATCTATCCTCCTTTTAAGCCTTTTTTTCTTTCACACACTATGTTGACATGCATAATTGAGAAGACCAAGTTGTTCTGGAAGATCACAGGAGATATTTTTAATAAACTATTAAATTAGGGACAAAAAGTTGAGAAGCTTGACAGGATTTTATTCTGCGCTACAAACTGCCTGTCAACTCACTGATCTCCTATGCTGCCAAGTGATCAACTTTCATCACTACATCAAGTCTAGGTGGCACTTTGTTGCTTATATATTATAAAGAGAGTATCACTGCAATTCACTAAACTCATTTGAGAAATTTCAAGCTCCTGGTAACAAATATGAAAAAATAAAATAAAATAAAATAACATATTCAAATATAAGGATTAGGAAAACACATGTCCCCATGTCACCTGAATGGAGGTTTTATATATATATATATATATATATATGACAGAGGGATCAGTATAGCATGAATGGTCAGAGTAGCTCAGTAGGCCATAATTTCATTAAGGCAACCTGTTTTCCAACTATTCATGGATTTGATACATGACTGCTCATCATGCAAGAAGGCAGACAGGTGTGAACCAAAATAAGTTCATTACATTATGTCACCATTTCTATTCTTCAACCAAATATATCCCGGTTTTATTAGACCCGCAGGAAATAAGAAAACAATACAGATGAGAAGTAGAAGATCAGAAATACTTTTTGGACTCAGATTTTTCATAAATACAATTGATATTCTCTTGATAAAGCAACATGTACACAATGGACACTACTGCAAAGTTTGTAATAATGTGCAGCTTAAGAATATCAAGTATATGATGTCTCTCAGATTGATGCCTAAAACTCCTGGCTACCTAGACTTTCCTCTTTCTAGTCATACACCCAGCAACATATTAGTTACTGTTTTATTTCATAAATGAGTCCTGATTACTAACGAGATCATGTTTTATTAAATTGGAGAGCATCCCTGTTTGTTTTAAGCTCTAATTGGATTAACTAATCCAAGAAAAACAAATGGAACAATAATGCATCACATACAAGAGGACAGCAGAGCTTGCCTGAGTGCCTCCAGGTCCAGCAACCCATCTTCTTGAGAGGGTTGTTACACGAAGTCTCATTTGACCGCTGCTGTGCTGATAGCTGTAACAATTTATCATTAAAAAGTCTGAGGTACATCCATCTTTTCCGAGAACAAAATAACAGGTAACTAACCACTCAAAAGAGTATAAGCTTGGCATACTAGGTCAAAAATTGGAAGTAGAATTGATAGCTTGAGGGTTGTTGAATAGTAGCATCTGGGCTGTCCTTCTTCGCAATGTCAAATATTAGACATAAAGTTGAAGCTTTGTCCAGGCCACACATCTTCCATGCACTTGTATTTCCCTGGCCTACAACTGTGTCAGAGCACAAAGGACCTCTCTGCACAAAGTCATGGACAGGTAAACATTGAAAAAAGCCAAGAAGAAAGGGAAAACCACTTAAAAATCCATTGGATTGTACCTTTTCAAGCGATGCACAAGGACCAATAATGCCTTGAACTTTGATATCCTTTGAGCAGTTTACCTCAAATATGCCACTATATTGCATGTGAGAAAAAATTAATTCCTTAATATAGTTTTGTAGTCCAAGTAATAAAAAATACACAATCATAGAACATACAAGGAAACATTTGAACAAATCACTTGAGGTTCAAGGCAACCATACACTAAAGAAATATAACAGTTTTTACAAGGATGCACAAAATTTTATTGGCCAAAACATCAATGGTATCAGCTGCTGTAGTTTATAAAGCAATGTAACAAAGTGCATCCATCCAGTGCGACCAATACAAAACTTATTCCAACAGGTCTATCTTTATTATGGAAAGCAAAGCTACAAACTAAGAAGAATTTCAAACCAGTAAGTGGCACCAATGCCATAAGAACTATAACAAAGTTCCAACCAAGTGGGACAAATATCAAAACTGGTTCCACAATATAGCTATGTTTTTTAATGAAAAGCAAAGCTACAGCCTAGTAAATATCTATTGCTCAGTTAGATACAGTATACAATTTTAAAACTTAGGATTAGAGTTAGATATTTGGACCCTGAAGCTAAGAAATCAATTTGGTCTGAGGAACATTGTTTTTTATTCATGCTTCACTAGATTTGGGTGTTTTTCTAAATTTTATTTTGTTGGGATAAGCCTCATTTATGGTTCAGTGGACCGTAAGTCAGGTTTCCTTATTTACGATCCTAATAAGTGAATAAGTGATGCAGCCAATGAGAAAGAAGTTTGTGAATTAAGTTATTTTGATTTTTAATTCTTCTAGTGTTTGTAAGACTAGATTATTTAGAAATTTGTTTTACTGAGGAATATTAATATTGTTTAGGAATCTTAGTTTATTTAGGAATTAGAATGTTAATCAGGAGTTTTTGATTTTGTTTTACTTTTTCTACAAAAGTTTCTATTTCCTATGGTTTAAGGCTACTTGGGCTTGGGTGTCTATAAAAGGAGCACCTAGTCTATGTAATCCCGGATTTTGAATACAGGAATCATGAGTATTTGATTTAGTTTGTCTGCAACATTTTGTTTGTTTCTTCCTCCTCTCTTTTCTCTAAAGAACTCTTTTCTTCTTCATCCTCTACTATTTCTTCTTGATACGATGATCTTGGATTACAATTCCCAGCAACAGTAAAATCCCAATTCAGCCTAAAACACAGCCTTAATCAATCCCAATTCCACGTACATCAAACCTTAACCCTAATTCATTTGTAAAATTCATAATCCTCCAATACTAGCTCACCATGCATCCTCCTTACGGCATGCACCAAATTTGTCCTACATTAGTTAGTTTACAATTCTAATGGATTAGCTTCACAAACCATTAGAAGATTGAACACTAATAAAATGCATGTCACCACTGCCAAATTTCCTCCAAGCTGAAATTTCAGTTTTGCCAAGGAAGTCATGAACAATTTTTTTTTCTCCTTAAATTCAAACCTAGTGATGCAGGAGCTTTCTCTAGGATTTATTTTATTAATATTTACGATATTAGTGTTATTTGATTAGTCTAGGATCATGTGATTAGCATGTGACTTTTTAAAGTATTTCCTTTATAAGCTAAGTACTTTTATTTGGGGACTAAGACAAGGTTCCTTTTCCTACAAGGATCTAGAGCTTTAACTAATATAAATAGGCTGCTAGGGTTACTTTTGTAGTAGGTTTTTTGTTATTTTATCAATCTATTCCTATTCTAGAGGTTAGTTAAGAACCTTAAATTCTATTATCTTGTTCCAACTTCAATTTTATCTTAATTTTTGCCATTATTCTGCTGTGTTTGCTGGTTCTAGTGTTTTCTCCTTGCCACGCAACATCAAATTGGCATCAAAGCAAAAAGATCATCAAGATTGTGTTAGGGTTTCAACCTTTACCATTGTTAGACGTGTTAGAAGTTGTAGATGGAGAAATCAAGATCGGCAAGCAATATTGGTTGAGATAAGTCATATAATTGAATGTTTGTTGCACACTATTGATGTATGCAGCAAAAGGAACAAGTGGGAGCCCGAATGGAGGTTCCGGAAGTTGACCATGACCCTTTAGACATACCAAAAGGTGGTAATAAGGATGAGACTCTTTCATGACGTTGGAGCTGTAAATCACACTGTGCTAGGGGAATTGGAAGAGAGGAACAACATTGCACTTCAATGGAGGAAGAGCGGTGAAGAGCAGCAAGCACAAGAAACTCCATTTCTGGAGAAAGATGTAGTTATGGGTTGGAATATTCATCTATAATGAAATAGATGTGGATTGGGATTCTCCACTAATCTATGATATTTATTACAATGATGATTAAGATGATACTAAAGTCATCAACCATGAAAGTTATGACAACATCGTTGTCATCAATGGTGACCTCATTAAAAAGGTAGAGGTTGAGTGCAAAGAGAACATGGAAGTTGCTCAACAAAAGAAAATTGTTGATTTAGGCTATGTTTATCGTTTTGATTACATGTTTGCTATTATCACAAACATAGATTGTTCAAAGATTATATGGATACAACACATGTTGATGAAGCAAGTTTAACGTTTGCAATTCATTACTCCAAAAGTCAATGGAAGAGAAATAAGTTGCCAATTGATGTTTCTTATACAAAATTTAACATGAGGAATTGTTGTTGGTAAAGCGAAGAAAGAAAAGGGGCTGGAGAGTCTTGATTGGACATCTATGAGATCAAGGCAAGAATGGTTCAACTTGACAACGAGTTTCTTCCAACCCAGGGAGAATGACGCAGAAGCTTCCTCTAGGATTTATTTTATTATATTATTTATATTACAGTTAATTAATTAATTAATCTAGGGTCATGTTGATTAGCATGTGACTTTTTATCTTGACAACAAGTTTCTTCCAACCCGAGGAGAATTACAGGGAATTTATTTTATTTTATTATATTTTATACATTAGGATTACTTAATTAATCTAGGGTCCTGTTGTTAGCATGTGATTTTTTAAAGTATTTCCTTTATAGGCTAGATAGTTTTACTTGGGGACTAAGACTAGGAATCCTCTTCCTACAAGGATCTAGAGCTTTAACTAATATAAATAGGCTGCTAGGGTTACTTTTGTAGTAAGTTTTTGTTATTTTATCAATCTATTGAAACTCTAGAGGTTTCTTATGAATCCGAAATTTTATCATAAGTTTAGCCATTATTCTGCTGCGATTGCTGGTTCTGGTGGTTTTCCTTTCCCACACTTCGTAACCCAGGTTGTTTGATGGAGTGATGCATAGCCAACAAAACTATGCTTTATTACCTTTTGGTTTTATTTTCATTAAGGAATACTAACAATTAATTATTTCCTATTTTTTTCGAGTATTAGGGTTCAGTGCTTAGTTACCATGTGAGTTTTTGCAGTTTATTAATGTCCATGCTACCATTGCTGCTACAAATCTCATTACTAAAGTAAGTTATATACACAGCTACCCCATTGTCTCATTCATAATTACATTGTAGGTCCATTATTAGGTCCAGTAATATGATGTCGGACAACTTTGGATTACCATACCACAAAGGAGTCGTGGTAGCCAAGATTCAGAGATTTGAGAATTAGGAATTCTAGGAAGAAATTAGGGTTTTTAATGCAGCAATGAATAGCAATTGAGGTTACTATATCAAGGAACAAATGAAGAAACAGAAGACGAAGAAAATAGTGCTTAGAGAAGAGGGAAAAGAGGAGAGTCAAGGCCGTTGCTGTTAAATCTAAACCAAAATGCTCATAATTCTATTATTCTGAGTCATTACAATACATAGAATAATTCTCCATTTTAAGGCATCAAAAGCAAGGTTGACCTAAACTAAAAAGGAAATGAAAACTAAATAGGAAAAGGAAACCATAACTAATAGAAAACTCATTACTAATATTGTAGTTTCCTAAGTAAAAATGATTCCTAAACAGTAAAAAGATTCCTAAGTAAGATACGTTCTTAAACAAAGTTTACAGAAAAAAATAAGAATATACAAAATTAAATATCAAAATTAGTTCAGAAATATATTTCGCTTTGGCTACATCAGACTATTTTGTCGTAAAGTTTGTGTTTATGAGCATGTTAGCCATGGAGGATAAGATTGATTTTATCAAGGTTATGCCAAAGCAAACTCAGCAACTTAAACAAGCTTAGAAATGTCTTATCCAGTTCCTTGCATGCAGGAGTTCATTTTTCTTCCAACTCAGATGCTTATGCTTTCTCGAAAGGTATGATTCCTTGCACCAGTTAATGTAAATCTAATTGCTTGATCTCCATAAAATAAATTCAAACTCAAAAATTTAAGATAGAAATAGCAACAATAACAAAGCAAGCACACACATGAGGCCATACTCACAATGAACAGATTGATAGTTACTTTTAAGAAAAGCCAAAAGTTCAGCAAGTAATAGATTATGTGAAACTCCATAGAGAAACACAAAAGGAGATTGAAGAAATCTTACTTTGATGATAGTCCAAGATCATGATCACCCAACTGGAAAACACGTCTGAAAGAATCCTTAAAGACTGAATGGCCAAAGCTTTCTGCAAGCACAACAAACCCACCAGTTCTTTCAACTGCAACTTTAAGTTCAGCAACCCCCACCTAGGAAGAGAAGCACATTTTGAGTTTCAACCCATATTAAGCATTCAAGAAAGTCACAGCTATAACAATATTTGTGATGAATAAATATTTAAAAATAGGAAGGCAGCAAATTAATTGTGGGTAGGGACCAACAAAATACTTAATAAATCATATTGACTCCAGTTCCCTAATGGCTAGGAACAAAAATAATTAGAAAGCCCAAAGGTAGAGACACAAAGAAAGCTAATAACCGCCAAACTATCCAGAAAAGCAAGACCAAAAAAGATGGATGGCAAAGTGCTTTATAAATAGAGGTCTAATGAAAAAGTACTCAACCATGGAGCAACTGTGGTATACAGTGTTATCTATGTACCTTACACAAATAAGAGTATAGCCCCAATAATGACATTAAGTATTCTGACATGCAATTGAGTTCAGCAGCATCTTGTTCCCAAAAAAAAAAAAACATTCAAAAAGTTTCAGTAAACAGGTAAATTTGAAATTATGTCCTTTATTATGGGAGTGCCTTTTTGTCAAGATATTTGCAAAAGGAATTAAAAAAAATAAAAATAAAAAGATACACATATAGCATCATATAGATTGTAAACTTTCAGTAAATTTCCCCTTCTTCCAACCATACATGTATATAGATACAGGGTTACTCATAGTTACACACACACTAGGTGCTGGGCAGTGAGTGCTTGTTTTAAGATTTGAATATTACCTGGTCAAGGGCACAAGCAAACAGATCAAGCACATGGCCTTGATGTACAAGCTGCTTAGCAAGTCCCTCGTAGAACTTGACTGCTTTGTGATAATGAGAAGCGGAGTCCTTATCAAGGTCCTTGTGCGAACGAATTGGTTCAGAGAGATTCTTTGACACAATCTAGAAGAAATACATGTGAAAAAAAATAATAATAAATGCCATTAAATAAAAACATAAAAAAGAAATAGGGGATACAATATAAGAAAAAGTAAGAATAAGTGTGCACGTAAAAGTGACGGGAGATGAAGTACTAACAATGCAATGGAAATGGGATAACTAAACATGAGTAAACACGGAAGCAGTATCTGGGAAATTTATTATACTGTAATGTAAGAATTGGAACTTAGAAACACAAGTTTAGATGAAGAAAAATCATGTAAGATGTGAGCAAGCAGAAGTCTAGTTTAGAATTAGAATTTAGAAGCAACAACCATGGCCAGGAATTAGATAACATAATACTCAACAAAAACAGCAAATCAAAGAAAACGAAGTCCTTACAGCACCAAGTCCTTCAGTGGATGGACCACCAATGAAAGCCAAAATTCTAGCACCGGAACCAGGAACACAAGCTCCTAACAAACAAGCAGCCACACTGAGTGCAGTGCTGGTGCACCTGCTAGCCCGCTGATCGGGAGGAACCTGCCAAGGATCTTTCTGCAGCTCCTCCAACACCTTTTTCATATGTTTAGTAAATTTAACAAAACAACTCCATAAGAAACAATTATATTGTAACTCTAATAAAATGGAGTAAGATTTAAGAAAGAAAAGAAAAAGACAATTGGAATTGAGAAATTACAGAATTGAGCGTAAATTCGCATTGGGAGGCAGGCAAGAGGAAGCGGGAAATGCTATCCGAAGAAAGGCCATCCTTGGAGCCGGCAATGACACCGGTAAGGGGCTTGGGCTTCTTGAGAAAGAAGCCCATCTGCTCGAGAAGCTGGTCCTTGGAGATGTCCTTGGAGCCCTTGAAAACGTAGGTCTTAGGAATTTCACCAAAGCCGAGCTCGTGAACGTGGACAAGAGTACCAAAGGTGATCAGACCCACCAGGGAGTTATCAGGGAGGAGTTCGATGGCCTGGGACAGGGACGACTTGAGGAAGCCCATCTCCTCCTCGATTATACAGGTGTCCACCACGAACATGAATATCATCGGTGACGGAGAAGAGGAAGAGATCATCTGAGGGTCTTCATACTCGATGGTCGTACACTGAGAGAAGAGTTCGGCGGGAAGGTTGTCGGCGGAGATGGAGGCGTAGTGAGGGGGGAAATGGTTCCGTTGAAAGCAGAAGGGGCAGATCCAGATCTTGGCAGAGAAATCAACGGTGCAGAATGGATTGAGGGCAGAGCGGCAGGTGCGGCAGCGTAGGGGAAAATAGGGGAGAACCGGCATGTTTGGGAAATGCTTGATCGGAGTGTAAATGGCGGACACAGGGACCACACAGTTGCTTGATTCTTGCTTGGTGCCCGGCAGTACGTTCCACGGCATTCTCACGCCGTCCTGCGCCTCGAGCTCCACGAATTCCCCCATCGCCCAATTATTTCCGATTCAATTCAGAGATTTCGACGGATCACTCCTATCCTCCTCCTTTCTGTGTTCCTATTATGTATTTCTTTCGCACTTATTTTCCTTTCACTAGTGCAACACAAGTTCAGTTTTTTCTTAAAACCAAAATAAAATATAAGTTCTTTTTAATCACTGATGTTTTAACTGATTATTAATTTTGTCCAAAAGCAATTAGATTTACTGATACGTCTCAAAGACAAGACCCTCTACGGCCCAAATGGCGTTGACAGTTTTGTACACGAAATTTTACTATTTGTTGGGACCCAACGCTGATTTGGGCCTCGAAAACTTCAGAAGGCCGTTACTAATAAACCAGAAGAGGTAGGATTTTTTAACAGCGACAACATTGTTCATTCCCTCACAATGTATTGTTCAACCATGTTTTTTTTTTTTTAATAATTTTATTTTGGTACTTTAAATTTTAATCCTCAATTGATGCATTACATGCTCTTTTTTTTCCTTTAGCTTTTTTTCTTTTACTATTTTCCATCATTTTATGTTTTTTTATTATTTAATTGAGTGTTATCCTCATAATATACTATTCACTCTTAGGTATTTTTTTGTAATTTTTAAATTATTTAATTTTGATCCTTAAAATTTTAAAATTAAAATTTTAATCTTGGCTCATGCACTACATGCCTTTTTTTCTTTGCTTTTTTTTCCTTTGCTTTTTTCATCAATTTATGTTCTTTTTTTATTTAATTAGGCGTTATAATTTTTAAAAATTAATCGTCACTTTTTTATACACAAACTGACGATATATATATATATATATATATATATATATATATATATATATATATATATATATATATCTTTTTATTTTTTTTAAATTAACATTTTTTTCAGCTTATATTACTTTTATTATTTAAATTTTATTCTTTAAATTTTTTTTTATAAAAATTCTCATCCAATTAATATTTTTATATATAATTTTATTTATTGATAAATATAATTTATTTTTTTCTATGTTTGAATTTTAAAATAAAATCTTAAAACATGATTTTTTTTCTTTTTTAAGAAATAAATTGATATAATATATATCATGAATTCTTAGAATTTTAAAAAATTTTATGAAAACACAAAATTAATGAAAAATTATAAAATTTTGAAATGATTTTGTTTTATCTATCTATAACGTTGCGTGGATAATTTTAAAAATTAATTTTCTTATCGGCATTAAATAATTGTTTTTCATTTGTTAATTTTTATAAAAGTCTATCCATTAATTACAATTTTATTTTTTGTAATACAATATTATGAAAAATATATTTTTAATTTTTTTAATTCTCGATTAATATTTTAGTTAAAATCAATTCATAAAGAAAAATAATTTATGTTTTTTTAAATAAAAAGTTTATAAAAAAACATTAGAAAAAATAATTGAATAAAAATTATAATTAAAAAATTCTAAAATTTTAAAATGATTTTGTTCCACTAGACTCATAGCGTAGCGTGGGTAACCGACTAGTAATTTCTAATCCAGGAGCAAGAGCATCAACAACTTATATGCAAATGCCACTCTTTGCCTTCGATCAAAGCGAACTTATTGTGAAGTACGAGTAGATCCAACGGTTATATGTAGCATTTGGGCATGAAAAAAAGAGAAATTTTATAATACATCAAGAGTAACTAGCGGCATGTACAATAGTTATTCCATGGGTCTACTTTGAGGAGAGATAGACATACAAAAAGAGAGAGAGAAATAGGAGAGAGAAAATAAAAAAATTTGAGCGGACGTGAAAATCTTCTTAGGACCTTTGATGGATATAGATGTAATTTCTATCTTTTTTTATGTGTCTATCTATTTCCTCAAAGTGGACCGATGAAGTAACTATCGTACATGTCACTAGTTATTCCTAGTGTATTATAAAATTTCTCTAAAAAAAATCGAAACTAGTGGAGTTGAATCCGAGACCAACTCAATGAAATACTCATTTAAACTCGATCGTTAAGAATATAATTAGTTTGATTGCCATTTTAAAGGTTGATTATTTTCATGAACGAGTTTGAATAATTTATTGCTTTGCTCAAAATGTTTCGAAACATAAAATGTAATTTTTAATAGTTATTTTAAGAGAAAAAAGAAACATTACTAAAAAACGACATTTTTTTATATCGGGAATGTAAAGGAACTATAAAATACACATAGAGGATGAAGTAAATGATTTTTACGAAGCTACTGCCTAGTATCGAGATAAGAAAACTAATTTCAAGCAATAAAACTATTGATATTTATTTGATTTATTATATTGGCGAGCAAGCTTGAACTTGATTGAAAAATTAACAAACCAATCTTGAATGCTATCTTAAAACGCGGTATGATAATTGTACTCGATTTAATTTACATAAACCAATCTTGAATCTCATGATACTTAACTCGATTTGATTTAACTACGGTCCTAGATGGTATGTGATCCGAGAGTTGGAGACATATAAATACTCCAATCAAAAATTGATTTGCCTTGTATGACGACCACGATAATATTTTTTCCAAACATGATAATGCTTTTACTTGTCCATTTATAAATTAATGAAACCTTTAAAGAGCTTAACAACTTTTTGAGTGAGTGAAGTCTCAAATAAAAATATATTTTACTCCAACTTTTTAGGTGTTATAATCAAACATGAAAGTTTTTTATGATGCTTTTAAGATTTTAAATCTAAATTTGAAGTCATAACAATGGAGAACTTTGATCGAGTTTAATTTTTTGAATAGAAAAAAATAGAAAGACTTTTGAGATGGGAACAAATAACTTAAATTAAAAAGAGGAAGTTCAATTTCTTTTGTTTTAGTATCAAGTGAGGAAAAAAAAGAAGGAAATGAAGAGAAAAAGAAGTAACTTAGATTCCAAAACTTCTTTTTATGCTATCAAATATTTCCTCTCAAATTAGGAGGAAATTGGTGGAAATTTAATTTTTGCTAGTAAGTTACAAATTAGTCCCTCTAGCTTTAAGAAACAAATTAAATAGTCCTTTTTATTTTAAAAACTAATTATTTGATCTTTTTATTTATTTTATGTTCTTTTTTAATTTGTTTTGTTTTTTTAAAAAATAGAGAAAATAAATAAATAGTATGGTAAGATTGATGAGAAAATAAGACTTTTTTTATGATAAAGTAATATTAAATTAAGTATGGTCAATATTGATAAAAGAACTAAATACTTTGCTTCGAAATAAAAGAGACTAATTGATTTGTTTCTAAAAACTACATGGAATAATTTATAATTTACTCAAAATCTTCCTAATATTATGTTCATGATATAAAATAAATCACATATAAATAAAAGATATAGTAATAAAAAAAATATGATTTATAAACTTCACTTCCTTAATCTCCCTCTTTTGCGAGCACACAAGAGAAATCTATTAGTGACAATGTAAATTTCACTTTTATTCTTTTTTATTATTATGTTAAAAGGAAGGATGAAACAAAATTACGGATGGTTTCATTCGAGAAAACATAGCGCTGCAAATATCATTTAATAAAATTGTGAGACAACTAAATTGAGCTTCGTAAGATAATAAACACCAATTTCTAAAGAATAAACATAATTGATTAGTCAATCTACACACTAGTCCTCTTCTAAATAGATATAGTAAAGACAAGCATCCCAAGAACGGTACAAAAGCAAAACAATAAAATGAACTAACCGATCGTAGAAAGATACTATTTGATAATTTTAGGTTAGTAGTTCCACAGTTAGTTTAGAATTAACCTCAATTTCTACTTTCCTATATCCTTCATTCTAAGCAAACTTAAGACTAATCAAAATACCAAAAGCCTAGTATTTAAAACTCAATTGTTAAGATGTAATAATAGGATAAGATTTTAGGACTCAAATTAAGGTAACTCTAACTCGTTACATTCTAGAATTAGTCTTGATGTTGTAATTATTGCAATTGTTAGAATAGCATTAATGTTGTCCAATTAGATAGCTTTTTATAATTGTATATATATTTCGGACCTAAGCTAATGAAGATATAGGAAAAACTATTTTCTCTAGTTTCTTTTCCTAAGTTTTAATCTCTGTTTTCTTTTTAGAACTTTGATTTTTTTTTTCTTACTAGAGTTCTAATCTTTAGCATTGAAAATCTCTAACTATTGTACTTTGATTAGTTTTGATCTAATCACGGAGCATTCAAACTATATCTTTATCAAGTTTGATAGAAATAACTATCCCTTATGGGAATTCCAGTTCATGTGTTCATTGAGAAAAAGACCTCTTAGGAGTTCTCGATGGTACTATACCTAAACTAATTGACGTTCAAGCAAATGTCAAATGGCAGAAAAAATGCTTAGGTTATCTCGTGGCTTCTTAATTCCATTATTGCTTTGAGTTTAAATGTTTTTGAAAAAATTCTAGAGATGTTGAGTCACTTAAAAAAGGTGTACTCCAAATAAAGTCAAGCAAGAGAATTTCAATTGGAATATGTTATTTCTAAATATACTCAAGAAGACAAAGATGTTCAAACCTATTATTCGGACTTTATGGCTTTAAGGTTGAACAAGATCTAGTCATTACTACCTCTACTCGACAAATTTGCTTTTGAACATACCATGAAGGAGTGCAAGAAAACTAGGTTCATGTAATTTTTAATGAAATTATGATTAGAATTTAAGTATGTTCTTTCAAGCATCATTAAACATCAATTTAACTAAGAGTTGAATGACATTTGTTTTCAAGCTTCTTCACAAAGAAACTCAATCAATTTCACACACAAGCCACATTTGATTGTTCAACAATAGTCTTTAATAGAGCTTTTTTTTCTTCTAGGTTTAAGTCAAAGCCAAATGACCTCGGCTAAATTTAATGTCATGGATGTAAAAAATACGGTCATGTCATTTCACATTACAAAACAAGGAATTTACGTAACTACGACAAAAATAAAGGCCATATCATTTCTAATTGTCCCTTATT